TATAAAGCATATTGATGGTTCATGTGAAATAAATTTATTTTAATTTGTTCCAGACGAATGTAAAATCATTTATTAATATTATTTTATTAAATATAAGATTATATATCGAAACTAGTAGTTTGCATCCAACTCTAATGTATGTTCCAAATAAAATTTATTAGTTATTCCACGACTTTGAATATACAGTACATACGTATATTTTATAATGTTAGTATATCAAATGATGGGAAAATAACATCCAAACATAACGTAAGTTTTTCTCATTGACGAGCTTTAAAATAACAAACTCTAGATTTCGAAGAGCATAATACAAACAGTAAATGTCGTCCTATTGAATACGTGACAAGAATCAAATAATTTTATTTTTAATTAGTAACTTTGATGATATAGATATATTCCTCAGTGAAAGTCGATATAACGTTCCTGCCATGTGTCCGGTAAATCGATGGATCCGCTATACGTAACAAACAAAATTTATATTTAACGATAATGTTCCGAAAAATAGTCGGTGTATCATAATTTTTTGTTTATAAAGACTAACAAATATTTTTCACAACATATTAAATACCGGGAGTTTCTATTTTTACTATTCATATTTTTTCTCATCTTCATTTTTTTATGCTCTTTCCGTTTTAATTTTTTCTAAGGTACTATATCATTTCGGAAATTTTTTACTTACTACCGTAAAGCACTGCATAAAGTCCCCCCGCTTCTAGAATATTTAATCCTTAATTTGTTCTAATTGTTAAATGAATTATTTATTTTTAAATTTCTTTACCAAATGAATGATAGCCTTGAGATTAAATTAAGGAATTTTCTACTGAGGGAAGTACTTTATGCAGCGCTTTACGTTAGCATCTTCATTAGGCTTAAAAGATTTATAAAACTTAATTTACATTAGAGTTAAATTCACGCATTTGTATCAATTCTGAAGTCGGAGTCATTCAAATTTATCTGTTTAATATTTGAATAGCATAAAGAACTTGGATTGAATTTGAATTATAATCTACTTTTGAAAACTGTCATTTTTGCAATAAATGAAATATTGTGTTAAAGGGGTTTGTTGTGGATCTGGGAAATTTAAGTCGTAAAAAATCATCTAGAATTCTGTTAAAAATATTCTGATTTTTGGACAAATATCGCGGCTTCTTTACAAAGAAGAGAAGAATTATTAAACTCAAACTGAAAAAAAGTCTTACGTGTCCGCCAAGAAAGAATACGGGAATTAAACGGAATATTAAAGCAGGAAGAAAAGAAAAACAAAATTTTAACCAGCGAATTAAATAATACCGAAAAAAAATCGAATTTATCGTTATCGTTATAAAAAAAACGGTCGAGAAAGCAGATACACGTACACAGCATTTATCGTTATTGTTAAACGGAAGGAAAACTTTACACATGTACGTACTTACCGTAAACAGGGAATACTAAAGCGAGGTAGTGGATTAAGGATTAAGTCAACTCGGATAATCATAATTATCCGGATTGACTTAATACACATGACCTATATCTGTAACACATTCAATGATTGGCTGAATTCTGCATAACAAAAACACCACCACACCACCATCGTCATCTTTTGTTTTGTGGTTGGCCAGCAAAATTCCGGCTGGGACCCTCACTAACAACACTACCGGCATGAAATCAAATTGGAAACTGATCGCGACCTGGAGAAATTCGCAAAACCAGCGAAACGAAAATGGCGGCCAAAATCACTCCTAACAACCTACGCGACCGGTTTTCAGTTTGATTTCGTACCGAGTTCCTGAGTGTAAGTATTTGGCGTTTCTTTTCATTGGTGGACGTCTAGTTTCTTCATTTCGTTGGTACCATCGCAAATTTCGACTGGTTTCCGGTTTGGTCTCACTGGGTCTGTGAACGCTCATATCTCTGGAACACATGATCAGATCTTTGCGATCTATAGTCCTATAATTAAGGTGACTATTTTTTGCGTTTAAATCAACAATTCGAGGCAATATTGATGGAGATATTGGTATCCAAGGTAGGCGTAAAATGACGGACGGCTCGCGATCTCGCCGATCTGTGTTAAGAATTTTGTGAACTCGGGTTTATTTGATTCGCTTAACCAAAACGAACATTCTTTGTATTGGGATCCAGTGGTTCTTTGGTGAGTATTTGATGCTTTTCGTTGATATTTCAGATGAAATGGGAGTCTTTGGGTGGACGTGGTCTTGAAAAATTGATTTTAACAAGATCAACAACAATCAAATATAATATTTAATTTGTCAGTTTATTTTTGCTGTCAACCAGAAACATTGTAAAATTGCTTGCCAACTTTATGATTAGTACTTAGTGTGGGCTTATTCAAAGAATGTTAAAGCTCATTGTCGCTGGTAAGCCAGTACTAGTACATGTATTTTTATTGGCAATTTAATTTTGGTCACATGATTATTATCCGAATCTGATTATATATCACGTATAATTACCGGACCCTGTAAACAAGCACCATTTTTTGATTCTTAAAAAACAGGTGCAGTCATGAACATTTCCTCAATTAAAATTATGGTCCGGTGCATTAATATCCGTACCTCGATTTAAAAGATTTTTATTTGCGTAATACTAAAACCACATGCAATGATCCAAATAAACCCATTTTCACATGGTAAAACGATTATATATAGATGTATTTTTTTTCGCAAAATTTATCGATTCCTCATGTCTAGTTCTTGTGTAAACCAAACTCCCGCACCACTAACAGCAAATGAAAAATGGATGGTATTGAATGTCTACAGATACTTTTCTGGGGCTACATCCATAGATAAACAAAATAAAAACATGTCATTACGCAAGCGAGTTGGTCTGGTTTTGGGGATTGCAGAGAGTACGGTTGGGATTGTGTTGTCTGATTGGAACCAGTGTAATGATGACACATTTATATCACATCAAAATCTTGGACGGCCTAAATCTCAACCAGACGAAGATATCACATCACTTTTGTGAACTCACATTATGAACAACAACAAGACAGGACAACAACTTTCCACACCTTTCTTACGACAATTTCTTTTTGAACATGGATACGTACTTTCCAAGTGGTAACTTCTCCGAATACTATAGTGATTGGACTATTATTATGGACAGGGAGAATGAAGAAACATTCTTCATGAGTCACCAAACAATGTTGCATTTCACTGTCGTTACCTTCATTATCATTTTGCTAACCTAGAGGGCAACAATAATGTTCCACACCTTCCGAAAGTTTTTCTTGACGAGTCGTATTGTCATTTGTATCATACATCACTGAAAACATGGGTACCTCACAAGGGCATTGTTTCAACACAGGGACGTAGTCCATTGTTAATAATTTTTGGTGCAATTGTCATTTTTCAAAATGGCGACAGTAACAAGATACATGGTGAGCTTGTGCCAAATTCTGTTTATCTTTGGAATCCTGCAATTAAACCTTCTGGAACTCGAGGACAAAAATGACATAATGCTGAAGAATGGAACAATGTTCCAGATGTCGTTAAAGATGTCAATATTATTCCTGACCAAGCGGACTATCACGGAAACTTCAATGCTGATATTTTTGAAAATCTTTTCGCAACACTTTGTGAAACAATTAGTAAAACATATGGCTGAGTACATATTTATATGGATGGCACACGTTACCATAAGCGAAGAATCGAAAATGTCCCAAACTCAAACACCAAAAAAAATGAAATAGCTGACTGGTTAATAGCTCACGAAATTTTTTTCCTGACGGATTACGCAAACCTGAGCTTCTAGAACTTGTGCAGAAAAACAAAGAAAAAGTTCCATTTGCTTGTGTTGAGATAGCAAAACAACATGGTCATGAAGTTTTTTTTACACCTCCTTATCATTGCGAGCTTCAGCCGATTGAGGGTGTTTGGACAGTAGTAAAAGGTGAGGTAGCAAAGTCAGGCCCACATTTAAATTTCTTAGACGTTAGGAACAAGCTTTTAAAGAAAAAATAACATCAAAAGTAATAGTAGGATTATGGAAAAGAGCGCTCACAAGAGTCAAAGAATATAAAGAATCAGATGATGATGTAATTTTATTGGATGAGGAAACAGATGATGATGCCGATCTTGACGATGATGACGAATTTTAATAAAATTTTTATGGTATAATAAATCCGAATACCTATTCATTTTTTATTTTTTTAAAAAAAAATTTATATGTAGAAACTGGTTTTATTAAGATTATTGTGAGGTACGGATATTTTCGCACCGAACCATATGTTTAATTTTTACGTGTGACAAATCGTGTGACTGCTAGACTAAGTGGAAATAACATAATTATCTTATTTCCACTCTTGTATAAAGTAAAATTTAATCGAGCTGGCTTTGTAGATCTGAGCTCTATCTAGTAAATGTGTAACTTACAAACCATCTTTGATGTAAATTGGCAAGGATTAATCCAGTGCATTTATGACGCGACGGGAATATCAATTAATTTCTAGCTTCGCGTTGCTTTTTCTCGGTGTTTAATTCTCTAAAAGAGAGGGCTCATTCATTATACAGAATTAAATTAACATCTATTGATACAATAAAGAGCCATGCACATCAAGCAGGTTAATACAATACATGTAATACTCAACATGAGTTTTACAGAGTTTACGCGTAGTCATGCAATCTGTTACTAAATTTCATTAAATTCATGTAAAGAAATACTAACCGATTATTTTTATTCAAAGATCATTATTCAAGGTTTCAAATCATATAAAGACCAGACTATTATCGAACCGTTCAGTGGTCGGCATAACGTTGTTGGTAAGTATGCCCACCAGGCCCGGTCGTGTCACTCTGAAAGCTCAGCTTTGATTTCTTTTTTCCGCATCACATTTTCATTGAACATCGCGTAATATTTAGTCGGAAGGAACGGGTCAGGAAAAAGTAACTTTTTTGCTGGTAGGCTTTTTCTTACACGCATACACGAATGCGCACACACATTTTGAAAAATAATTGATGATTATTTTAGCAATTCGATTCGTACTCAGTGATGCGTACACGAATATGGGTAGAGAGGAGCGTCAAGCTCTTCTTCATGTGGGTTTTTATTTGATTTTGCAAAATTCAAATGGTCGAAGTGTTCTGATCTCGATCTATTAATCCTTGACTTGATCGCTTATTTAGGAAGGAACAGGACCAGCAACTATGTCAGCCTATGTCGAAATTATATTTGATAATAGTGACAATCGATTTCCAGTCAGTGCTATTTTATACCATTAGATTATCATATGCTACTGTTGATTAAACTTGATCCTTTTTTCGTATTGATGTATAATATTATTTGTATAGACCGGTAAAGATGAAGTAGTTCTACGCAGAACAATTGGTCTGAAAAAAGACGAATATTCGTTGGACAAAAAAAGTGCAACGTAGGTTTTGAATCTTGAATGTGAATAATAGAAACTTGAACTATTGGCAATTGACGAATTATCGATTTTCTCTTTTAATTTCACTCACAGAAAAGCCGATGTAATGAATCTATTAGAGAGCGCAGGATTTTCTCGATCAAATCCTTATTATATTGTTCCACAAGGAAGGGTAATCGTTGGTTTTTATCCATGAAAGTTTTATTTTTTTTTACTAAATTAAGAGATTTTTATTGATATCACGTCAAAAGATCACTGCCTTAACAAACGCCAAGGATCCTGAACGACTTCAATTACTTAAAGAAGTTGCTGGAACACGCGTGTACGAACAACGAAGACAAGAAAGTATGAAGATTATGGAAGAGACAGGTATTTTGTTTGGCTTGTTTACCTGATATTTATTTGAATAATAATTGAAGACCCTCTTCTAATCTTTCATTATTCCTGAAGATTCAAAACGAGCTAAAATTGAGGAGCTTTTAGCTTACATCGAAGAAAGACTTGAAGAGCTAGAAGAGGAAAAGGAGGAATTGAAAAATTTTAATGATTTGGATCGTGATCGTCGGTGTCTTGAGTACACTATTTTTCATCGTGAAGAGACAGAATATGCTTCGCAATTGGAAAAAGTATTTAATTTTTTCTTTGAATGGTTAATATCGTAGAGACTATTTAATGAATTGTTTTTAACACTTGCTCTTAGATGGAAAAAGAACGTGAGAAAGGTGTCAGTGGGACAAATGAAGAGAATAAAGGATTCGAGGAAGAGCAACGCGCAATTACAGTAAGCTTTTTTAAAATTGTGGCTATTATCGTTGGTATATTGTACTGACTTTACGTTTAATTCAAGAGAATCGAAGTTGAAATCCGACAACTTGAACAAAATATTCAACTCCTTACAATTGAGAAGGAGCAACTCGACGAAGATAGACAGGAGCAAATCAAAGCTCTTGCACAAGTTGAGCTAATTAAGAAAGATCTTGAAGACTCGGCTAAACAGAATAGACAACTGAGGGTATTTATTATCAACATTTATTTGTGACATTTTTTACATGATGTGGTGATTGAGTACTCTTGTTATCGCCAATCAGGGTCGAAGAAAGAACGAGTTGAAAGCTATTGAACGGGATATAGAGCGAAAAGAAGCTGAATTAGCACAAGTCATACCACAATATGAGAATGAGGTTTCTCGTGAACTCCAATTAAGAGAACGGTTGGTTTATATTGAATGAATTTCATGATTTCTTTGTATTTGCTAATTATCGTATTTTTTTATTATTATTTAGTCTTGAAGAATCAGAATTACAGAGACAAGGACTATATGCAAAACAAGGACGAAGCATTCAATTCAGTAATCGATCAGAACGAGATGCATGGCTCAAGAAAGAAATGAAAGAGATCGAAGTTACAATTTTTGCTCAGACTAGACAAGTAAAAACTATTAATTTGATCATGATAAAGTAAATGGTTTGTTTATTAATCTTTTTTTTTAAAAAAATAATTGACATGTTAGACGCGAGATCTTGAAGATGAGATTTCGGGGATAGCACAATCTATAGAAAATGCAGTGACTGAGATACAGAATACACGTGAAAAACTTGAGCAAAGAAAAACTAATTTAGAGGCGATGACTGTCGAGTATAATCAATTGAAGACGCAGCGAGATAAATTAACTGACGATAGAAAGTCAGTATTAAAGAGGCTCTATTATAGCTTCAATGTTCTTGATGATATTTCTTAATGACATTTTATATCAAATAATTTCATAGAGAGCGTTGGAGAGAAGATGCACAATTAGAAACAAAAATAAGCAATACTCGTGAGTTATATAGAAAGAATGAACGAGGCCTTGCCAGCTCAATGGATAAAGTAATTAATTTACTTTTTTTTATTCTCGATTTTATTTTTTTAGCATTGCTTATTAAATATAAATTATTTAATAGAATACCAGTTTAGGATTAGCGAATGTGAGAAAAATTGCCCAAAACAGAGGATACACGGGGGTTTATGGACCCCTTTTCGAATTATTCGATTGCATAGACGAATCATATTGGACTGCTGTTGAGGTTACTGCCGGGCAAAGGTTTAAACGATCACATTCCTATATTAGACTTTAGTTATTTGATCGATAATTGAGAAAATGCTTCTCTTTCCTATACATCAGCTTATTTCATGTGGTAGTCGATACAGACGACACTGCTAGCAGAGTATTAGAAGAACTTAATCGAGGTAGAAATGGACGCGTCACTTTTATGCCGTTGAATCGATTACGATCGAAAACTCTTGAATATCCAAGAAGCGATGAAATTAAGCCAATGTTGGAAGTTATTCAATTCGATGGAATGTTTCAAAAAGCGTTTGAACAGGTTTATAATGATCTCCTTGTGATGACGATGATCTCTCTTAGATAATCAAGCAATTTTGGCTCTCTCTATTTATAGGTTTTTGGACGAACTGTAATTTGCAAAGATCTCCAATCATCATCAATTATTGCTAGGAGTCATGACCTTAATGCTATAACTGCTGGAGGCACGCGACTATTTTAATATAAAAATCTATCTTGTCGGTCTTATTGACTATAATCCGGATGAGCTCTAATGACTTCCGCATCTAATAGGAGATCGAGTTGACCGCAAAGGTGCCTTAACAGGTGGCTATCATGACGTACGTCGTCGACGATTAGAATCCGCATCAAATCTAAAAAAATACAAAAAGGAATGCAAGGAGCTTGAGGATAAGGCTCTGCTGGTTAAACGAGAAATAAATAATATCCTTTTGTTTACTATTGATGATGTATCGGGTCTACATTTTTTGCTTTCCTTAACTTTTTCGAATTAATTTGATATACATTTGGATCAAGAAATTACTCGAGTACTAAGTAGGATGCAATTGCTTGAGGCCAGGCGACGTCAGGCACAGGATAGTCGTGATCCTCTTATCTTTGAACTCAATTCCAAGATAAAAGAAGAAGCAAGTTTAAGAGACTCAAAATCCAATAAGGTTTTTATTTTTTTTTGTTATGCTCAATTACTACGATTCTTTATAAATCGTCGACATACTTAATTAATTGCCAAATAAACAGGAAAAATCATTTCTAAATTTGCAAATGAGCATCAAGAAGCTCACTTCACAATATCAAACACATGAAGCAGAGCTTCAGACAGACTTAAACAAGAACCTCACACCTCAAGAAGAACAGATGCTTGAACAACTCAACTTTTCCGTTGAACAGTTGAGACAACAGCTAGCCGATGTTTCTACTACGAGATCTGAGGTACATATCTACACAAAGATGTTGTTCGAGAAAATTTCCTGTTTTTCTTTATCTTAAAGGATTTTTTTTACTACAAACGAAGCTTGAGACATGTAAGAATGTATTAGAAAATGAATTGGATGTAAATTTGAGGAGACGTCGAGATGAACTAAATGATCAAATTGAAAGCTTAACGACAAAAGATGATGCCGGCGTGGATAATGTTAAGACAGATTTGGAGAGAACCATTAATAATATGAATGAGCGCTCGAAAAGTATCAAATCAATCAATTCCTATAATAAATGTCAACAAACTTAAACCTGAAATAATTTGAATTTTTTCTCGATAGAGATTGGTAATGAACTGAAAAAACATTCGAAAGAACTGAATCAGAAAAATACTGAAATAGAAAATCTCAAGGTATTTGTATTTTTTTTTTTGACTTAGAATTTAAATATGCTAATTTTCCGTTTGGGTTCAGAATGCACAAAGGGAACGCGAGGAAAGAATGCAACGGCACGAGAAAGAGATGGAAAAAAAGCTCTCTGATCGTAGTATTCTATTGAGGAAAAAGGAAGAAGCCACTAAAAAGCTCCGTGAGCTTGGCACTTTGCCTGACGAGGCCTTTGCCAAACATAAAAACACTGCTTCTGAGAAAGTAAGTTATATATTTTCATCACGACTTAACTTTTGATGCTCATTTTTCGCGTTTTCATTCCGATATAAAGCTCTTGAAACAACTGCACAAAGTGCGTGAAGGCTTGAAACAATACAGTCACGTGAACAAAAAAGCTTTTGAACAGTATAATAATTTTACAAAACAAAGAGACACTCTGACTAAAAGAAAAGAAGAGTTGGATCAATCAAAAAGGGTACATACATTATATTACTTTTACAATCTAATCTATCAACTACATCCGACTCATTCTGTAACCTTTATTTAATTCTAGGCAATTAGTGATTTAATAAATGTCCTTGATCAACGGAAAGATGAAGCAATAGAACGTACCTTTAAACAGGTAGCCAAATACTTTTCGGAGGTGTTTGAGAAACTTGTACCTGCAGGACGAGGGCAACTTATCATGCAACGAAGACTTGATAAGGTATTGTTATTATGATTACATAATTTTATGAAATGTTAATTTTATAATTTCTTCTGTTTAATAAATTTTCTAAGGATGATAGCGATGACGACGACGAGGAAAATGAACAAAACGATAGCGGATCTGTTGACAATTACACAGGAGTGGCAATCAAGGTCTGAGTTGATATTGGACAAAATTTATAACTGAGCAATAATCAAAATTAAACCTTTCAACTCTTCAAACCAGGTCTCGTTTAACAGTAAAACAGACGAAGGTCTAAGAATGCAACAATTATCTGGTGGACAAAAGTCATTAGTTGCTCTAACTTTGATTTTTGCGATACAACAATGTGATCCAGCTCCATTCTACTTATTCGATGAGATTGATGCTGCGCTAGATGCACAATATCGAACCGCCGTTGCTTGTAAGTAATACCTTTTTTTTTATGAATCGAGTTTAATATAACATGGTTAACTCAGGATTATTTTGACTTGAATAGCCATGATTCATGAATTATGCGAAAATGGGCAATTCATAACGACGACATTTCGACCAGAGATGTTGGCAAATGCTGATAAATTCTATGGTGTCACGTTTTCGAATAAAGTCTCTCGCATCAATTGTATTACCAAAGAAGACGCGTTAAATTTCGTGGAACAGGTTGATATTATTTTTATTTATAAAATTATGATTTTGGAGTTTCACTTATCATCTTTTTTTTCCATTTTTACAGGAACAACCTCAATAAAACCTCAATAAATTTTATCAACAAATCTCTTGTAATTTTAATTGGCTTAGAATAAAATAATATAATAACGATAATATATTAGAATTTAATATAATAAATTATCTCTTAGAAGATATAACGGTCGATCCTTCATCACATTATTTATCGTTATCTAGAGAAAATAAATACACGTGCACGGATCAATACACATGATATCAGCCACCAAAAAAAAAATTGTAGCAACTTTTGAGAAAATCGAACAGAACAACACATTGATAGAATTAAGGTGTTGTCTAAGATTTTTCTCTAAATTAAATTAATAATGAGAGCATTAGCATCTTTCATCGTCATGATGATAGATGTATTTTGCCATTCTTATTATGAAGGATTTGACCAAACGCGATGGAAGTAGAATGTTCCATTGTTGCGTGCTTGAGACCCTCACATCTTTTAGAACACAGCAAACAGATAAATTTACGATAATTTAGTTAATTAATCGAATGGTATTTATCTGGTAACATATGGACTATAACTATGAAAAGAAGTTTGAGATGACTTATTGTCCATGTCCGTCTTAGTACTAGTTATTGCTAACTACATTCATCAAATAAACCCTTCCATAATAAAACGCGTATATTAATTGTTGATAAGTTATTAATGTTAAGTTTTAGCATTAGATCAAAAATTAATTTCATCTAAAAAAGTAAATGCATATCATAAGCCAAATCACCAGCCATAAGCTAAAAATAGGTGGTTACACGCGCAAATCTCTATTTGGGCAAATAGATGGTCATTCAATGATTTTCTACACTTTGTTTGTTAAGGCTTCTCGACTACTTTTTCTATATTACTGTTATCTTAATTTAAGTTTTTTAAGTTTTGACGCGTTTATTTACACTTTATATAGAAGAGGTGTGTTTTATCCGTGTTTAATTGGTTTTTTGTGCCTTGCGTGATGAATTTAGACGCTTGGGTTCCAAAAAAGTTAAACACTTCTACTAATCTACTTTCTATAGATGTCCCGTAGTTTTGTTCGTACTTCAAAGTTTAGGTAAAAAATATTTTGCCAGTTGGACATTAAGTTTTTAGACTATTAAAATGTTTTAAGAAACCATATGATATTAGCGAACGTGAGAATATATCATTTCCAAGTCTAAGATGTTTAACGGGTGCTTTCTTTTGTGTGCACTTTCGAAAAATAAAGATCAAATACTAACTCGTTCATTACGATATTATTAATAGACATGTATTTGGTACCAGCTCGAAACATGAAAATTGTTTCGATAATGTCAAAGTTTCAGCAAACGCGTGGGATACCAATTTAGTCAAAGTTAATCCGGTAAGAATTAGGTTTTGATGGAGCGTACTAGTTAATTGATAGATTTGCAAGATTAATTCAATACATCATGATATAGACTTTTGTCGCTCTCAATTGGAATGCGGGAGGTGGTGGCGCTTTCGCTGTAATTCCTCATAAAAATGCTGGTTAGCAAATTTAAGAGAATTTTGCTTTAACGTGTTAAACCTCGTTATACTTGCACATTTACATTGTTATTATTATTATTATTATTATTATTATTATTATTGTTATTTGCACGATTAGGCAAAGTCCCTGACAATTTGCCCCTCTATCGAGCTCACACCGCTCCTGTATTGGATACGGATTTCGCCAATTTTAATGACTATGTGATCGCTTCCGCCTCAGAAGACACCAAAGTAATGATTTGGAATATTCCCGAGGAACTTCCTGATCTTAGTGATTTAGACAAAGAAATACCAGATATTCAACCTGTTGCGAAATTAAGTGGTCATGGAAGGTATGCCCATATCATTTAAATTTATCTAGATAATACGATCCAGAGAAAACTCAGCATTACACAAAATTGATTAGGAAAGTTGGACACGTTCTATTTCATCCTACTGCGGACAATGTTCTAGCTTCTTCATCCGCGGATTTGACAATAAAATTATGGGACATCGAGAAGGGAAGTGAAAAATCAGAATTAACCGGATTCACCGATTTTGTACAGTCACTTGCTTGGAATTGGAATGGTAGCTTGTTGGCAACTACTTCACGTGATAAAAAATTACGGATTTTCGATGTGAGAGCGAATAAAGTTGCAATACAAGCTGATAATCATCAGGGGGTGAAAGGTGCTCGAGTAGTTTGGCTTGGTGATAGTGATAGAATCGTGACCACGGGTTTCTCGAAGATGAGTGATCGGCAAGTGTGGCTTTGGGACACGACCACGCTGGGTAAACCAATTAAAGATTTCAATATTGATACCTCATCGGGAATTGTTATGCCTTTCTATGACAATGACACAAAAATTTTATTCCTCGCTGGAAAGGTAATAGAGAATAATCTGTCGAACTCTGTTATGCACTTTTATTAATCTTTGGCTATTAATTTTCTCTATGATCTTTGTTGAATTAGGGGTAAGTCGAAGATTTGTATCCATTGATCTGATGCAATTATTGGCTCGAATTAACTTTTCTCGCTCTATTTTAAAGTGACGGGAATATTCGTTATTACGAATTTGAAAATGATGAATTATACCCCCTTTCAGAATTCAAATCATCCGAACCTCAACGTGGAATGGCATTTTTACCCAAACGAGCATTAAATGTTACGGAAGTTGAGATTGCAAGAGCATACAAAGTTACCGGCAATTTAATCGAGCCAATTTCGTTTGTTTTGCCGCGTCGGGTAAGTGATTCGCTTTATTTTACCTTCTTAATTTAAATCCATTTCGATATGTTTTCCACTCATTACATTATGTTAATCACAACAGTCAGATGCTTTCCAATCTGATATATACCCACCCACTGTGAGCGATGAGCCCGCCCTCACAGCTGACGAATTCTTCGCTGGTAAGAATGCAAATCCGAAAACAATCAGCCTAGAATACGGATTTCAATCAAAAGAGAAAAAAGAGTTCGTTTCTTCTGCGCCAAAAGAAGAGGAAAAAGAATTGCAATTGCCAAAAACCGAAAAAGAGGTTTGTGTATGATTTTTTTTTGATCATCGATACAATCGATACTGAACTTGATGATCTTTATCTTGCGCTCTGAATAGTATCAAGAAGCATATCACACTCTTCGCCAAGAAAACGAAGATCTACGAAATCAAGTAGCACAACGGGATGTTACCATTCGTGCACTAACAGCCCAGCTTGAACAGTTGAAAGCTGCAGCTTCGTGAAACAAGATTTTATTTATTCAGTGACAGTCTTGAAGCTCTCTCGAGCCAAGTTCTATTTATAGCAGTTTCTTTCTTTTAACACACAAGAATTTCTTTTCGAGTATAAAATAATCTCCTCAATCTTATATTAATTAGAACAGTGAAAAACTTTATTTATACATTTTGAATTGATGATCGGATTTACCACATAAGAATTTGTAAAAAGAGAATAATAAAAGCCACAATAATTTATGCGTTATTAGAACTTTTCTTGTTATCCATTGTTACTTCCAATTCATAACGCTCTCATGATATTTAATATCAGGGCCAATATCTGCAGGTGCTCATCTGAGCCATCATTAAGATTATTGTCTACTTCACTAATGTGTTGAGAAATCGTCGATTTTTGAATATCCGTAAGTCGTTCTTCATATATAATCTTTTCTTGAATCTGTGTCAACACATTAACCATTTTTGTTTGTTCTTGATCAATTAAAGACTTTCTTTGCAGAAAACCAGATAAAGAGCCAACGTTTACCTGTAATAAGACTTGGTTCGACGAATAACCGGATTTCACAATTTCTTTGACGGCACTTTCGATACCTGTGTACGATAAATTATAAGCCTGTCCGAGAAGATTATCAATTATATTTGCAGGTATAGTCTGTAAACATAATTTTTCTATTAGCTTCAATAATTAATTCATCAGTTTCAAAAATAGTAAATTGAACCGAATGGTTGGTACCCCAGCGATTTCTAGAATTGATGATCTAGTGATAAGTTCATTCTTATGGAGACGATAAGCACTCTGAAGGTACATGATTGCCTTTCTCAAATCCCCCTCTGAAGCGGAAATCAACTGATCCAATGCCTAGGAATTTTCCAAGCATATTAATACACGAAAGTATTATTGGACAAAACGATTATAATAACCAATCACTTGCGTACCTCCGGTTCATATTTAATTCTTTCTTGTTCACAAATCATTTGAAGACGTTCTTTAGTATTCTCAATATCTAATGGCTTGAAGCGAAATTTGGCACAACGCGACGCTAATGGCTCGATGATACTGTCGAAAGCATAAATATATGAAAGTGACCATGACGAGTTTCAAATTCACTGATTGAATGGGAACATATCGGATTACCGTGAAACATAATTGCATATTAGACAGAAACGCGTGACTCGAGAGTAGGTTTCCATTGTTCTTCTTAGAGCTGTTTGAGCATCGTTTGTCATTTGATCGGCCTCATCAAGAATGATTATTTTGTAAGGAGGGTTTGGGTATTTGCTTAATTGAATGAAATTTCGAGAATTAATGAGAAGAAAGATTTAAAGTAAAGTGTAATCTAATTGTTATTTTACCTTTCTCCTCGATTGCCAACAATTACACGTGCAAAATTTTTTATCTTTTCTCTGACAACATTGATGCCTCGTTCATCTGATGCATTGAGCTCCAGGATACGATCTCTCAAGATTTCGGGTCTATAACACAAATTTTAATTAGTAAATCAATAGGATGAATCTTCTCAGTAGAGCAAGTAAAATATTTATACTCGTAAAGTTCTCGAGCTAATGCTAATATCGTGGAAGTTTTGCCAGTTCCCGGAGGACCATAAAATAGCATATGGGGTAACTAAAATCAAATAGATAAATCACCTGTTAATTTTTCTCTCAGGTAAAACTGTACAATAAATATTTAATATGTCTTTACATTTTTGGATTCTAGGGATTTTTTTAAAACTGCAACTGTTTGTTCTTGAGCAGTAACATCATCAATCGACTTTGGACGGCTGTATAATGGCAAAATAAAAACAAAATTAAGCCAATTTGGAAGCTTAGAAACTGGCTTCTATTACAGGCGACTAACGCGAAAACTTACTATTTTTCAACCCAAGGCTGAGGTTGTTGATATAAGGTTGAATTACGTGATTTAGTTGGGCGTTCCGAAAAGAAATCTTCCATTTTTTTATCTGGGTTGTAATTCAAATTCTACGCGTTGTTTTCTTGATTTAATGACGCACGTGAAAAACCCCGTGTTTCCAACGGGTCGCGTCAATGTGATTTGGATATTTCATGAGGGTCGTAAAAGTATAGAAAGACCACGACGTGGTCGACATCATCGTAAAAGCAAATGTAGTTCAAAACACAAATTCGATAAATCCTCGCACTTCTTCATTAGTCAATTCGCACAGTATACGTATGATGGGATCATTTAATGTCATGTTTTGACATTAGTCTCAATCGAAATTTGATAGCAGTTAATAATTTACTATGCGAGATAAAGTGAAAACAATAAATATTATTTTGATATTTACATGGTTATTTATACATTCAATATGATATATTGCTATTATTATTATTATTATTATTATTATTATTACTACCCCACATTTTATTCTCTTATATTCTACCATTTCCACCACTTCCACCTCTTTGATCTTGTGGATAATGTTGAACACTTCCCCAGATTGAATTCCCTTGATATTGTGAACTTTGATGTCCACGTGATTCCATTTGACGTTGATGGGGTTGTTGGTATTGATGTTGTTCATATGGTAATGGTTGAGGAGGTTGAGGATAAGAAACAGGCGAAGGACGAGGATAAGTAGGTGATGATGATGACGATGATGATTGATAGGGGTAACCTTCGTTATTAGGAGATTGCAATGGAGGAGGTGAAGGATGTTGGTTGGAAAGTGATAATCTTGGTGGTGTCAACAATGGTCGTGGTGTTGTATATGGTGCATTGTTTGAATGAGCTGGATATGATGAATTGCGAGGTAGAGATCCATTTGGTGGCGTTGGTAATGGATGAAGATGGTTAGTATTTTCTGACATGTTCGATGATGGTCGTTGACCATAATGTGGATAATTATTCTCTGGATAAAAAGGTTTATTGTTATTGTTATTGTTAAATAAGTGATTATTGGGAATTTCTTGATTGTGATGATTCTGATTCGGTGGTTGTACTTGATGAGAGATATTAATATCATCATTATCATAATCATCATCATGATAGTAGACATGATCATATCTTTGTCCAATGTAAAATGCAATAAGAGCAAAAACTGTGAATCCCAGACTTCCGATTAATATCCACCATCCCGTTCCAAATTCAACTTGGTAAGAATCATCAACCGAATTGGTTAGCTCTCTATATACTAAGTAATCGACAAGCAATGCTACCAGATCAACAAGAATCGCAACAATTGAAAGGCGTGCTGCTGCTCTTAGCAGAGATGGTGCTTTACGTCTATGTGCCCATCCTCCCATACATGTCAGAGTAAAGGAAAGAACTGCCGCTAGGAACAAAACTCCATTAATATATAATTTGCGTATCCGTGAATTTTTGTTACTTTCTACTTACCTAATATGTGTACTACTGCCAAATAACCAAGTATAGTCCTATCCGAATGCTTTATTTGAAACCCGATTTTTGGTTTAGAACAAGAAGCATAACTCGAGTCGCATGCACCCCATAAACCACTTAATGTAACAACAGATACATATTTAACGTTATTGTAAATTCGCAATAAGGCAATATCGATATGAGTTATTGGCACACTGAGATTCACAAGAATTAAACCTATTGTCGCGATTAACGATAAAATTGTGGGCGGGCTTGCCCCTCTTTTCAGAAATCTCATAATGTTGTATGTATCGGTATGTATATGTACGTGTGTAGTTGCGTTTTTGTTGAGTATATGCTATTCAAGATGTGAATGTATGCTAATTGATCAGAGCTTTAATCACTACTATTATGTTTATTTATGTGCGGTTTTTTACCAAAAGAAATATCGACGGACATATATATATATGTATATATATATGCGTATATATATATACAGATACATGAATATTGTAGAAATTCAGTTCTGAGTAAAAACGAGCGCACTTTTTGGATTTTATCAATAACAATGTAAGACCAATGTTTAACCGGTTATCTCGGAATTATAAATACATTTAAAATAAAAAAACAGAATCACTTGCATAACGATAACAATTGTGTGAAAATGTCGTACATATAAGGTTATACAATGAACATTTTGTGCTTCTTTCTATACTGTACGTGCTTATAATTTATTGACAAAATTCCGTTTTCTTTTTATCGTCATTGTCAATCGAAATGTAGATATTCATTATCTTGTTCGAGCCAATTATCCTATATTAGATCATATCGATATTACATTTAATGGAATATGGCATGTTTTTGTATGTTGCAAAAAGGTGTTATGGAAGGCTTTCTTTCAAACTTTCACTATCATAACTACATATTGATCACTTGGAATTGGAGGAGGAGAAACTGGACGATGAAAAACTGGAGGACGATATGGTTCATCATCATCATCATCATCATCATCATCATAGCTTTGTCCGCAAATAAATGCGATAAGAGCAAGAAATATGAATCCGAGACTTCCGATTAATATCCACCATCCCTTTCCAAATTCAACTTGATAATCCTTTCTCGAACGGAGCAGCTCTCTATATACTAAGTAATCGACGACCAATGCTATCAGAATAACAAAAATCGCAACACTTGAAAGGCGTGCTGCTGATCTTAGCAGAGGTTTACGTGCTTCACGTTTATGTGCCCATCCTCCCATACATGTTAGAGTAAAGGAAAGAACTGCCGCTAGGAACAAAACTTTTAATATATAATTTGTGCATCCGTGAATTTTTATTACTTTCTACTTACCTAATATGTGCGTTACTGCCAAATAACCAAGTATAGTATTAGTCAGATGATTGATTTGATACCCGATTTTTGGTTTAGAACAAATATCGCGAGTTATATTGCATGCACCCCATAAACCACTCAATATAACATATCCATTCTTGTTAATTTGCAATAAGGCAGTATCAATACGAGTTATTGGCACACCGATATTCACGAGAATTAAACCTACTGTCGCGACTAACGATAAAATTGTAGGCAAGCTTGCCCCTCCTCCCAGAAATCTCATAATGTGTGTAGTTGCGTTTTTGTTGAGTATATGCTATTTAATATGTGGATATATGCTAATTGATCCGAGTTTAATTTGGGTTTACTCAAGTTGAATATAGGAAATATCGACGGATTGAAATTTGATATATATAATATATTTTGTAGAAATCTGAAGAATTTATTTCTGAGTAAAAATGAGCGCACTTTTGCGATTTTATCAAGATCAATGTAAGACCAGATCATAACAATGTTTGAAAGTTGGCAAAATTTGTGATATTTCGGAATTATAAATACGTGTATATTCAAACAAAAAGACAGAATCATTTGTGAAAATGTTCGTATAAGGTTATACAATGGACATTTTGAGTGTCATACAATAGCGGCAAAATTTGAAATTCGGTTACAGACATAGAAAGTTCGATTATACACAGAAAAATTCGTTACACCAAATAATAGTGAGTGGATGGTTTGGAAAAGGTTATATAATTCATTACATGGTTATAAAAAAAGAAATAAAAAAACTAATTTAAAGAATATTATAACTTCATTAATTGTTCTGAGTGCCTTATGATTTTTTACTGCATATTCTGCAGCACGTCCTGTCAAACCATGGCGATAGGCATCCATTCATTGGAAAGACAACTGGACGTATGCTCGAATCCAGAGCAGCAGGTACCATAATGACCTAAGATTATATTCACAATATTCACGTAGCAGCACCAGCATATTTCTATATAATTGAATTTGGGATGAAATTTTGATAAAATAGAACATGAAAATTAAAAGTATCTTATGATCCCGTGATCCAATAATTGTTTGAATGAGTCTCTTTCTCCAAGCAAATCTGATTGATTAGTTATGAGATGGCAAGAGCAACGATCAATGCGATTGGAATCGGCTCCTTTTCTGTACATGCTTTGCATTTCAAAAACATGTCCCATATTCAATTCTTGTTCCTCCAACATCCAGTTAATATTTTTAGGTTTGTCATCTCCTCCCATATTATAAAGTCATAATTAATTATTATTGATTGTGTCATGCTTTGATAATGTTTTCTTCCTGGAGTTTTATTTTCTGACAGCCAATGCATTGAATGCAAATGCTATATAATTGGTAAAGTGAAAATAATATACATAATTATGTTAGTTTAGATTATGGATGTGGTCTATATCACAATTCTAATCATACTCAAAAATAGTATTTTTTATAAATCTGATCACATGAAAGGATAATTGATTATCATATTGATATATGGCTGATTTTATAGAGTTAATTATATACAAGTCAGATATATAATACTGATAGAATGCATAGCATTTCTGATATATGACAGATTTTATTATAATTGTAATAAATTTTTGTTATTAGATATATATACAAATTATAATTAAACTCTTTTATAATCATATATATTTATAATTAATGACTTTATAATTATCTTAGTTTTGCTTTTTAATTTATATATTATTGTAATTTGATATTTTAATATATTTAATAAAAATAATTATTTTAAGTAATTATTTTAAATGATCATTTCAAATGATTATTTCAAGTAATTATTTCATATTTATTAATTAATTATAATATAAAACACTTAAGAATAAAGTACATGACATTATCAAGTTACAGAGTTTTCATTCAAGAACCAATCAAATTGCTTAATTTTTAAAAATTGAGTAATTTGATTGATTTTTAAATGAAAACTCTGTAATTTGATAATGTCATGTACTTTATTCTTAAAAATATCAATAAAATTAGTTATTTTTAAAAAATTATACAAAAAAAAGATTATTATTTTGTAGTAAATAGATTTAACTACAAAATAATAATTTTTTTAAAAAATAATTACTTATTTTTGACTAATTTTTATTTAAAACTTATTATTTTTATATGATTAATAATTAGTAAGACAATAATATAATTTTTAATTAATCAATTAAATTTGATTAATTAATTATAAATTATATTTTGTTTATATAATATTATTTTATTGATTACTATACAAGAAAATTTATTATTATCTTTTTTTGAAAAAAATAAATTTTATTTACAAATTAATCCAATCATATTTGTTTAGCACAATTTTTATTATTGTTATTATTATTATTATTATTTAAAAGAATATTTTATCTTTTTATAATAACAATAATATTCTTTATAGTATTTTTAATATATTATTAATTGTTCAATTATTTAAATTAATAATTAATATATTAATAAAATTTGTAATTAAAAATATATAATAAGTTCTAAAACTAATAATATAGTTTAAAAATAAAGTCAAAACTAGTTTAAAAATATATATAACTGAAATTAAAATTATATATTTTCAGAATATTTTAGAAATTTATTTTTAATAATAGTTTATAAACTATAAATAAATGATAAAACTAAATTTATATAATTACAAGTGAGTTTTTAAAAGATTTAGTACTAATTTAATATAAATAATATTATATTAAAATATCTAAATTTAATTATAATATAAATAAATAATAATATTATTAATAAATAATTTTTATTTATAAAAAAAATAATTAAGCTAAAAAATTTATATGAATTTAACTAGTAATACCCTAGCCACGGCAAAAAAAAAGTGCTGGTCACGTGATTTCTGATCATATCCTGACTTCGGCTGAAGTTACGTTATACCGAATGCCGGTGTAATGACACACTTTGCAAATCTTTATTATCTTTATTAGCCAATCAAATTTAACTTTTACAATTGTACTTTGGCACTTGTCTATTTTTTTCTTCTAACGAATTAACGTAATCAAAATGCGAGTTTTTTCCCTTTTGATTTTTCAGTTCCTTGTTGACCATGGGCTTGTAGTACCTCCTGGCACTCATTGACCACTTTTATTACTGGCTTCAATAAGCTGTCGAAGGTATCTACAAATTGATCATTATCTATTTCTCGTTCATATAAGACTAACACAGTTTTCATAGTTTTTTTATAAGCAGCAATCTTTTCTCGTCTTTCATTAATTATATTAAACCTTACAGTTGCTGATGTACTGTGCAAGTCGACAGTACTTGAGCTCGCTTCCTCAACAAGATCTGTCATTGATATACCTTGTAAGTTACCACTTCCTCTATCAAAATTATTCGTTCTATTCCTAGACCAGGGATTGTTTACTGAATTGATCGCTGATACTTTATCTTTTCCAAAAGCAAGGAAAGGATAATCATGTCGACGCGTTGTTTCTGAGAAGATAGGTCAGAAATGAATATCACCCTTCTTTGCAACAAGATGCTTGCAGATAAGGTAACAGCTGTGAAGATATGCTGGGCAAGAACACACCCAGTTATTTACGTCAACATGATAGGTTTCATCCATGTCAGGCTGGATTTCCATGATTGCTGCTTTGCTCTAATCCTTTTTAAAACCATCCCATCATGATGGAAATATCCGATTTCCTTTAAGCTGATTTATTTTGAGGTCAAAATCTGGTATCAATTGTTCTACAAGGATCTGGATAAGACGGTCAAGACGTGGCTGATTGTAATTATATTTATAGTTGTATTTAAGAATCCGCCAATGACTTTCCGTAATCATTGTGATTTGCGCTAATGGCATGATAGCTGAATATGTTACCCGAGAAAAAAGCTTCCAGTCTTTTCTATTATACCAATTTATTCACAGGTACTCCCATAATTCAGCAAGATTACGGCTGTAGCAAAACTGGTAGATTTTCTTCACACAGCTTCAGTAGAAAACATTCTTTGCTATTGGCGTGAGTGAGTGCATATTTGCGTATCTTTTTATTGTGTCCAAGAGTTCTTTGATAGAATCTTCTGGACATAGGGTTCCAATATTTCTATTTGGTATCCAAAAAGAATTAATGAAATCAAACTGTTTGTGAACTTCTAAAGCTTTTGCTACAGTATACGCACTTGCTTTTGATTTCTTGTTCTTCAACCATCTGCTAATAGCATGCTCGAGATGCCAATAATATAGCTAAAGGTTAGTGGTATCCGACCATGCCTCACTCACGGTTGAGATCTCTCCGGCATCTTTGTCAACTAGACAAAATACTGGTAATAAGTCTATTTTTCGAAGACTGGTGAAAAATTTACACAGAACTTGTACTTTTATGTTGATTTAGTTCTTGGAATCGTGTCTAGCTTGTTCAGCATCATCACACGTTGAAAGATATAAGTATGCTAAGAGCATACCATACCCACCGCAATTGGCATTTACGACAAAAAGCTCAAAACAGTTTTGATTAGTCTTAAACGTAGAATTCACAACAATCTCACTTATGTTTTCAATGTCAATACGATTGAGCAATGGCATCACAAATCTAAGAGCCTTTACAAAGTCATTTTCAAAGAAGCAAATGATTTTGAAATCTTTTTCCACAAATTTGGATTGTTCAATATAAGACTTTGCTGATAAGAGCTGATCTTTAGAATTTATTATATATGTTTCCTTATTGAAAACAGACGCCCAGTAGTACACCTGCTCTCGTGTGTGTAGCTCAGAATTGATAAGTTCTCATTACAAAGACGTCCATAAAGTTCGTGATTTCGAATATTGTATTTGATATTTTCTTTAATCCACTCTCTTGTCTTCGTAGGAAACTGTATTTTTCAATGCTGAGGATGCGGATGAGCTTCTAAGTGCTGAACTTGAACTAGGACACAATGTTGCTGAGGATCGATAGTAAGTGTAATATTTCCTTCACAAGCATATCTATTTATGGAAGTTCTAGCTTCACTTATATGCTTTACTGGTTGATTTTCAGACCTTCGCCATTGGTGATTCTCCTGTTGTGTATAACCAAGATATGCCATTGCATAACCAGTGAATCTCTTTTCTTTGCAATTTAGGTGTATATTATGTACTTCCAAGTAATATTGAGATCTGACCTCAATTGCAAAAAGAACAATCTTCGCGAGTTGAAGAAAGTTGTTCTTAGCTGTTTCTAAATCAAGTGTTTTTGACTGAAGATCACAAGAAACACTTTCAGCAAGTTGTGGATCCAGCTCTACTTCAAAGACCAATCTTACAGA